CACCCCCGGCGCCGGGGGGGTTAAGGTGTGACTGTTTAGCTGAAGCTGTGGCTCAGAGGCTTAACCCACTGAGCCACTCACCCCCCCCCCCCCAAGAAAAAGAGAGACCGTGCAGAGGATTACAGGAGTCGATCCGACCCCCCCGGTACTTTCCCACCGGTAACTCGGAGTGGGCGACTGACAAGGATGTCAGTCACATGACACTCATCGTGCTGCAAAGATAACGATAAACCAATAACTTAATATGAGAGCTACGTGAATCAAAGATACGCATGAGTGCAGAAATGAGATCATTCCGGATGCAGAAGACAGCAACTCAGGGCCCACAGATGGTGAGGGAGCAGCTCCGTGGTCAGAAGGTTAGCTGAGGGCATCCTGGGGCAGATTGGTCCTGAGGCGTCTCTTGAAGGTTGATTGCGATTCTGACGGCCGGTAGCTTCAGGAACCACACAGGAGACGCACCTACAGCGAGACCTCCCACGTGGTGGGGAATCTCTGGGCAGTGAGACAGGATGTAGGTCTGGCTGAGGGGTGATGGGTATCTCTTCATTGATGGTTCTGAAAGGCAGGACCAAGGCCCTCAACTTGATATGAGCACCTACAGGGTGCCGAGCGAGAGCATCGTGGCTGACTGGATATCAGACGTGCGTTTTGCATTTCTGCAGTGGCGGCCCTATCAGTAAGCAGCCAAAGACCCAAGAAGGGAATTCTTTACTGGCGACACTGCAAGCTATCTGGCCTGAAAAACAGGGGGGAAAAGCATACGTATGCGTATATGAAGTCACACTGGAAATGTAAAAGCTGAGCTGGGAACCAGTTCCTCAACCACTGTGGCCAGTTTAAGTTCCTGTGCATAAACAGGTGCTGTAAAGTACATTTCTTGAATGACTTGAAACATTTCAAAATTAGTACTTCAGTACCTGCAAGTTTCTTCACATGCATCTTACATGACGGCACCAGGCTACAGAAAAAACGGGTTTAACACCCTACAACTTAAGTGCTTCGAGCAAAGCTGCTTGTTACCCTGTTATGGAGACACTGAAATATTTTAATACTTGTCAGTCACGTTGAACCTCCCGCCCCCGGCATGTCATAGGTTACTGTTTGGCCCAATTAACAGCTGAGTGCTTCACTCCAGTATAAAAAGCAGCAAAATTAAGGTGATACGTGACGAGGCGCTGGAGGGTCGGCAGATCCCCGCTTCTGCTTCCCTCACCCTGCGGCTGCCTGCTCTAGCGTAAGGTTTAACCACCTTATTATGCTTCAGTTTCGAAGCCACTATTACGTTAATGAATAGACATCAGCCCCTATCCTGTCTAGAGGTTCATTGGCTTTAGGTTTATCTTTAGCCATAATGAAGACGTTAACATTAAATGCTCTGTAACTATTTTGAGTCGCTCTGCTTTTGTTTTCTTTATGAAACGAATAAAAGAGCGCGGGACAAACACGCTATAGGCAGACAATCAGGTAGCTTTCACGGTAATTACCATGTCATCCTTTCTGTTTCTGCAATCAAGCCGGCAATCTAGAGCTAATCAAGCCCCCAGGCAGGAACGCGGGGCCCCAAATTGATACCCCGGTTTGATTTCCCTCCCTGCGGCCCCCCTGCGCGGACGGTCTCTGGGGAGTGTTATCCAAGCAAATCAATTACGTCAATTAGCATTCATAAACACTCTGTTCAGCATCTGAGAAATGGCTGTGCTAAACGCGCGTTTGAAGTGGCCATCGGGCTGACTGATGTTATCATGTATTTAACTACGGAATACGTGCCGTGAAATATACGTTTTAAGAACGTACCAACTAAAATACCGCGCTTGCTTGTATGATCTACTGGGTTCCCACCAGGCATTTTTAGTTATGTTAATTCCCAAAGGTTTTGCGTGTGACAAATAGATTTTTGCTGGAATTGATTGTATAGACCTACAGTGACGCCCAAATATCTTGTACGCTACTTGAGTTTTATTGTGATGCACCTGCGCCCCCTTGTGGATGAAAGGGAACATTACGCCGCTCCGTTTGTGTGGTTGGTGCGTGACTCAGCCGACAACTCGCCTGTTTTAATAGCTAAAAAAACGATTAAACCGCAACCCTCGTTTTGATGGGTTATGAAGTCTCCCAGCAGGCGAAGGGCTAGAACTGCTCTGGACTTCTGCAGCCAGTCATAGAGAACATATAACACCTGTAATTACTGGAGACTGAAATGAACATTGTGATTTTTAGTAATAAACGGAGCACGTGACCCTTATTGTGCGCGCTGTGGGGCGAAAATCGATCAATTTGCTTCGCGAAGAAATGACTTGTGGTGCAGTTTCAATCCAGTCTCTGCCAGAGATTCACTGTGACTGACTAAGATCAGTCACTAAAATCAGTGTGTGGCAGCGAAATATCTTTGTTATATACTGGTACAAATGAAAATGAACAAAATTATTTTAGAAACAATGTGCATAAAGGTGCTTCTTTAAAACGATACTACTACAGGCCTCTCGAGCCAAACAAATGTGTGAAATACTCAAGCTGCACGGACGTAAACGTTAATATTTTAAACGCAAGATGGCGCAATGGTTTTATAAATGCAGATCATAAAATATAATGAAAATCCTTTAATATACAACTTAGACTTATTTTCAGTACCTAACCATATGCAATGTAAACTAAGCAAGCCGAACACAATGAAGCGGCGAAATTTGGGTACTTACCGGCAAAGTGCTGATATCTTTAATAATATTTACTTGCCTTACAAACATCGAGCTTCACGAAGTCTTGCACGTTTTCAGATTTCCTTCATATTAGAATATAATGTAGTAGAACTGAAAATTTGTATTGCCACATAACTACGTTAGTGTAATTCGCTTTTAGTACACTTCATCTCCGCACAATTTAAAAAAGTTCCAAATCTTTGTATCGTATTTTTGCGGGTACAATCACCCATTTCTGATTGAGGAATTATCATGTTTCTCGTAGTTTTCCAGTAGAAGTAACAAGACTGCAATAAGATATCCAAAGTTGAAATGATTAACTGATATGAAACATCGAAATCCCTAAAAAAAGTTTTCCATCAAGCAATTCACAGAAGACCTTGCAATGAGTTTCATTGCAACGTCGTAAAAAGCGCCCAGTTTCAGCTTCCAGCCCGGCCCCGAAGAACAGGCGTGTACTTCCGCGGTACTCCGCACGAGGGCACTGTTACTGCTGCTGCAAGGACGCATGACGAAAAGTATTGCTAGCCGACGAGAAGTGGGGAATTGCAGAATGACACCCGAAACAGGCAAGTCACTCCAGTTAATTTTGGTTGTCATCCCAACCAGGGTGGACCCCAAGCTCACCTCTCCTCCCCCATGACCCTGTCCACGATAAGTGGTAAGAAGATGGATGGGTAACTGTGGTCTTCAATATTAAACTCGTTTTAAAGAGGTCGCACTATTGTCAGAAGGACCGCAAACAAACCTAAATGCTTCTCTAACCAGCACTTTCACTGAAATCTCTGCCCTGTGCGTCAAAAAATGCTACAGCTTCATGAATCAAAGCAAGTCTACCTAGAATTAATTTCTTTAATGTCCTTTTAATCACTATGCACTTCGTGATTTGCACTATATTTACTTGTTTGTACTGTGCGTCAGCGTTTTGTACGTTTCACACCGTATCTACGTTCGTCTCTGCTCTGCCTACCTTGCTGCTCTACCCTTGGTATCAATATCTGCTTTAATTGCACTTTATTCAGATCAATTGAACTTTAAGTTGTATTTAACTAAAAAATTCTCACATCTTTAGCGACCACGTGGGGTATTTTAAAACCCATGCTTGCTTTACCAGCCGGCACCCAAATGATTTTGATGAGAGGTTATGTTCTGTACAGCACCTTAGCTCCATGCCCCCGTCCCTGTGCATCTGCGAGTCTCCACTGTCCATTAGGGTTCAGTGTCACGGAGCTGCAGCCTTCTGTCAGGCTGAAGTGTGGTGTCAGTGACAGCTGAGGGACAGGTAGGGATCGGGGGGGCGTACAATATTCCACAACTTCTGCATACAGGTCACACAACAGCTTTAATTGAAAGGCACATTTACAGCAACCATGGGGGCTGGGGGACGGAGACAGGCGATCAGAGAGATGAAGCTTCAACCATACAAACCAGTACAAACCGTTAGAGTGACCCCAGAGGGGCAGCCAGGGGGGCACAGGCCTGGGGCAGGGGCTCCCAGAAGGCCAGCTTAGGTGGCCAGTGGTTCCCCTTCCCCCTTCTGATGGACACCCCCTATAGAGAACCACCGCAAGCAGAATGACCAAAGCAGACCCAAGGCCATGAGGAGAGCACATGACATAACAGGCGTCTGCTCTGCAGCCCGATGGACCAATCAGTTTGCAGGAGGCGAGTTTACCCTAAGTACCCTTCTTTGAGACGTGCATTTAAATTAATCTGGAATTCCACTATCATTCAATGACTCCAGTAAAGTCCAGCACTGGCTGTTGCAGTACTTCCCAGTGGATTCCAGGCACGTCAGTTACACACAGCTCAAAGTGGCCAGTGGGGCCCAGCGTCAGTCACACTCCGGCCACCCATGGCTCCTGTCGAGCTGGAAGTCTGGAGGGATGGGACTGTCTGGGGGCCAGCTGTCCAGTGTGCCGAGAATATGAGCACGGCGCCTAAAAGACGCAAAGCCAAAACGGCACTTCAAGTTTGGGGACCAGAGGCGAGTCTCTGGCGGAGGTGATACGCGCTGAACTGCTCACGGAAGTGAGACGATAAAACGTTCACGTTCCTGCCTCAGGTTCTTGTGATGCCAGCAACCCTACAGACAATCTATAACTAAAGGGAGGTCACCATGACAGCGATCTGGTGCCCTGACCGCTAACGCCGGCTCATGAGGATAAGCACCTCCCTGGGCGAGGAAGGTCGGCTCAGCAGGCAGCTCGACGAAGTAGCAGCTAATCACACAAGAGAAATGCTTTGTTTGGATGGTGACTTGAAGACAGAAGCATCTATAGCCAAACAAATGCAAAACAAGGCTGTTTTCACAGTATGGATCACTGTAAATTTAATACAATACACAGATTGTTCCTCAAAGAACAAAAATATGCAAACTGATAGTAACACATCGGCTCTGGGCAGATATCCGAAGGAAAAGGTACCGGAAACCGATCTAAAAATGCACAGACATAAATACTCAGGTTAAAAAGAAACAAAAAAAAAAAACAGACAAGTTAGCTTATAGACTTCTAAGTATATTTTTCAAAGAAAACTAAAATTATGCACACTAAGTTTCTCTCGCCGTACAGAAGGTCACAGGTCAGAAACAGCAGTTTGATCCCTGCCACGTGTGGTTGGAGAATTCTTCTAAAATATATATTTTTTTTCATCTTAAAATAAAACATGATGTGGGAAAAGGCCTATAACTTGACACACTTAATTTAGGACTTTTTTTGTTTTGTAGATTTGTAGTCGGGGGGGGGGGGGGGTTAGGGGGGGTCGCCGAGCCAATAACACATTACTGGGGAGGCCTCAGCTCGCCAAATCCTGCAGGCTGGCTTGCTGTACTCACAGAGAGGGACCCTCCCCCCATTAGGAGGGCTCAGGATGGACAACAATTGTCAATCCTCAAATTCTTCCAATCAGAATGAAGCACATCACCACAGCTTACATGCCGCCATTAGGTTCTGCATGTTTTGGCCTATACCCCACCTGATTTGGCCCCCACCCTGTATAAGACTGTATCCGACACAGTAAAACAGAAAAAGTGAAGGTTGCTTTATTACTGTAAAAACAGAGACGGGGTGAAGCTCCCCGCTCAGAGCACCTCCCAGGCGTTGATGTTCTACCCTTCTAGCGTAAGGACCTGATGTCCCATCTGTCACTGCAGGTAACCCAGCAACGTGAATCAGTCACTCTCGATCCCACACCAGCTCTCGGCAAAGACACGTAAACATTTGTGCTAATTACGTGAGGGGCCGAGCGAAGGTCTACTTCCCTACTTTAAAAACCCAAATAGCATGGTGCTAGTCTTCATTTTTTTTCCGGATCTTCCAACCCAACAGGGGAAGGGGACGGGGCGGCGAGGGGGCGAGGGGGACAGGTACGCTCTGGCTCGCGCGGAGAAGGATCCGTGTCTTCGGTGAAGGTTAAAATAAAGACGGAATTCATGTCTACTGAAATGATACATTCTAACATGTGACGGAGCGCGGTTCGCCCTGCGGGGTGGGACCCCGGGACCCGCTCCTTGGGCGGCGCTCAGACACACGGCCACACGCGTGCACGTCCGGGACAGGCGGAGAGTGTGAAGGTGAAAGCTCCGCTGCCAGAAGGCTCTGTGTACCCATGCGGGCGGGATGGACGAGGCGCCAGTGAGGCGGGGGGAGAGCCGCTGTGCTTTAATGCCACCCCCGTCTCCACGGCGCCCAGCCACCGGCCAGCTGCTCAAGGCCCCAGCCAGACTCCAGGCAGGAACGATGCTCGCACACTTTCATACAGAGATAAATGTGATTCTGTGGTGCTCAGCTGCCTCTTTAATCTTCACTTCTCTGGTTGTGTTGAAGGTTGCAGCAGCCTATTTTTCTGAGGAGGGGGGGTCAACCATTCAACGCCCCCCCTCCCTACCCCATTTCATAACCCCAACCCACCCAAACAACTACCTTTATTCTCCAAACCCCCAACTGTCGTCCTCCTCCTCCTCCTCCTCCTCCACCCATTACTTCTGTATCTGGAAGATGAAGAGGCGGAGGTTGATGTTCTTGGCCGCCAGCAGCTTGTTGCACTCCACGGAATCGATGATGGGCAGCGGCACGTAGTCGGTCTCGTTGGTGTCGTTGCTGAAGACGTGGTGGTAGATGACAGGTTTGATCTTGACGTCGTCGTAGGGCCCCTTCAGCAGCAGAAAGGAACACTCCAGGGCCGAGTTGACCTTGCTCTTCAGGATCAGCTGGAAGGACAGCGTGCGCTTGCAGGACAGGTTGGGGTTGCGCTCCGAGTCGTTGACACGTGCCTTCAGCACCCAGGTCTGGTTGAGCACTGTGAAGCGGGGAGTTTCGTAGTACAGGCGGGTGATGAAGTCGTCCGTGCGGTAGGGCCGGAACTGCACCTCTGCAGGAGGCGGCGGGGGGGCAGTGGAGGAGGCGGCGGGGGGGGCAGTGGAGGAGGCGGGACAACGGCACACAGCATTAGCAGGAGCTACTCAGCACCAAACCTCAGGAGGAGTTTCAAACACCTTGGTCCATCTGAAATCCAGCTGCATAAACTGTTAAAAGTGCGTGTATGTGTGTCTGTCATGGCTTAAAAGAATCACGCCTCTGACTGAGTTTGGACCCGTTAGACAACGACAGACCAAACCTAAGGCATCACTCTGGCCAGACGGAGACAGTGACACTAGCTGTGAATGAATACAGGATGAATCTGGCATTCAGACGCCCCAGTTTGGTTTTCTGGGCAGCAGCTTCAGCCAGTAAGAGACGATCCCGGCTCTGACATCACTGCCTTCCTCAGAGCTGCACAGCATCACACCGGAAAGCACCTCTCTAAGCTTGCGGTTTTTATACTATATACTCCTTTTAACGTACTGAGAGACTCCAAGAGGGAAATCTTTTTTAAACCTCTTCAGGGTGACCTCTAACGACGGCGGCCACAGTGACCCTTTCCTAGCGAGGCCCCCAGTGTCCACCCCCCCCCTGGGTGGCAGGGCGGTACCTGTGAAGCCGATCTTCTCGAAGCAGAGCAGGCTGAAGATGCTGTTGTAGAGCTGCATCTCCTTGCGGTGCGACTGGTCCATCTCGTCCAGGATGCCCATCAGCTCGTTGCCAGTCTTGGTCGGGTGGCTGCAGTCCGCCTCGTGTGCCGTCAGCTCGTGGAAGGGGCCCTGCCACGGGCAGCCAATGCGCTTGTACTTGCACTGGGTCACCCTGTGGAGGGGGGAGGGGAGGGGGGGGGCAGCCACGACGGACGGAGGGGACTCAGTCCATGAACTGCATTTATGGCACACGGGCACAAACGCATACTGGCGTGACGGCTCTGCCATTGGCCATGTGCCACCTTTCAGGATCACGCAGAGGGTGACGCATTTCCTGAAATGCCAGCGAAACAAACACCACAATAATTCTGTCGGCAGGACTAACATCGGCTGCTCACCACGACATTTCTGCATGACAGAGGCTGATACGGCCTTGGGCCGTTCAGACAAAAGGCTGCACATTTATACATGCGAGTGTGCATGCGTGCATGCGTGAGTGCGTGCTCACTCATGGGTGACAAAAGAGTGAGATACAGGATATGAAGTATGGAAATGGGCGGCGGCCAGGCCGGCGTGACCTGTGAAGCAAGTCCCCCACCTACACATTGGACACAAAGGTATCGACAGGCTGAGTAAATGCCACCTTTTACTGATTAACAGCCAAAGCAAACTGCTGATTCAGCAGGCAGATTGGGGGGGGGGGGCACTCAGCCCTGCCCCCACCACTTTATTTCTGCTAGGCAAACACAAAGCAGGTCAGCTCTGTAGTCACAAACAGGCCTGGGCTCGTTTAACTGGTTCGTCCGTCGGAACGCTGCCATGTGGGCGAGCAGACATCTGCGTGAGGCGGAGCGAGATGGCAGCCTCTCTGGCAGCCTGCTGGGCACCGGCAGCCCACCGCCGCTGCTCTGTGAGTCAGACCCGCAAACATCTGGATATGATCAGGCTCATTCCCAACTCCTGTACCACACAGCCGGGGAGATTTCAGACGATGTCCTGCAGCCTTACGGGGCAGCGAGAAGCGACCGGCACACGGCAAGCCCTTCACGGGACACCCTGCGCAAAGAGGGCCGCAAAGCCGGAGTGCCGTGTGGACCCGGCTCCGGCGCCCCCTGCTGGCCAGGCCGTCATACCTGTCCTGGCACTCCTCCTTCTGGTGGCGCTCCAGGCTGCTGCGGGGGAACTGCTTCATGCAGAAGCCGCAGTCGCAGGGCAGCTCGCTGACGGCCTTCTCCACCGCCAGGTTGCGGCAGCACAGCGACTTGCTGATCTCGCAGCGGCAGTTGGGGCAGGTGGCCTGCTCCTCCTTCAGGCGCGAGTCCGCCAGCAGGTGGATGAAGCAGCCAGCACACATCAGGTGGCCGTTCGTGCACTGGGGGTTGGGGGGGGGGGGGGGGGGGGGGGGG